TTGTTGTCTGTTTGTGTATCTGTCTGTCCTTCCTTAATCTCGAGAGCCGTGTTAGGTAGATAAATGTTTGACCAGATATGAGAAGGTGCAGGACAGAAGACCCCAATTAACTATAGCAAAACTTTTGAATAAAACCGGATGTCACGTTATTTCAATACAAAGAGTTTCCTCTTGAAAAAAGTTAGATATATGACAGACACCACGCCATTGTTAACAAGAAACATAGGGGCGAACCACTAATTTCACGTAGAGAGCAAATATTTTTAATTAAATAAATTAAAAATATTAATAAAAATTGCAGTATCAAATTGTGACTATGTCAAAATAAAGAATTGCTCGTTTTTGGGGGTTTGATTTTTAATGCAAATATAAATCGATGACAGAAATTCAAAATTTGTTACGATTTAAAAAATTCATATTGTCGCGTTATGCCATTACAATTTTGAAATTCATAGACCTCATTCAGGTATCGTGATTCACTTGTGCATTTTACCTTGGATTAAGTAAACTTTTGCTAATGAAGACTCTACTAAAACATATTATATTACAAGATTTTATACAGTATTGTGATATATTATTATGATGTTTAAAAATCAATACTGAGTTATTTTTTCTACAGATTGGTACAAACACTGGGCATAATACAACAACAATATTTTGAAGCTTGACAATCATCTAAAGTTTACTTCTACATTGGAATTGGCACACGTGGCCTTTTCAGGTATGGCAGTTTGCTTATCTTAATAACACTGTGCGTCTTATTTAAATATATATAAAATTATGGTGGTATAGCTAATTTTAAAACTACACTGGTACCTCATACTTTAAACAAGTCTTCTTTTGCAAGCTGTAGAGTTGAAACGCAAAATTTTGTTGCAAAGTTCGAACGATGCTTTAAATTTCAAATTGCGTGCACAGTTAAAAAACGTGTTCGAATTATGAACGCAATCTGTTGTCTCTTGCTTTCCTTAGGGTTGAATACTTTTAGTGTTTTATATACTGTATTGTTTGTTATTCGTCATTTTAACAATTTCTTCCTGCAGTTTTTCTTTGTGAACAGATTTTAGACGACCACTACGATTTGTATCCTTTAGTTAAAAATTTACTGAAAAAGAACTTTTTCAATCACATTCGAAAGTTTAGGATCATCTTTCCCATACACAGAACATGAATGTGTGCAACGAACAAATGCAATATGTAAGAGACACCACTGTTTAATATAATGTAATCCTTATTTCATATTTTATAATCCTAAACTGTTAGGAATGAGTCTTCAAACATCCAATGTTTAATATGACAAAATTATTTTGTTATATACATTTTGTTATTGCATAAAGGACCACACATCTAATAGTTTCAGTTTATAAGATGAAACATAAAAATAATAGGAATATAGTATCACTGATGCAATTAATATCACTGATAGTATCACTGAAAAAGATTATGAGATTTATATAATATTTACTAATAACTGTCATTTAATATTTCGTATTTGTTTTCATTTTCGAAGTTATCAGTTATTAAAGGGAGCACGTTGTTCATAGGCTGCACGATTTTTATTATTTTATATTACATTATAACAGGTACTTTTCATTACTATTTATGCTATGAGATTGCTGTGTTATTTCCACTAAGTTAGGTATTCTTGAGATGTTAAATTGAGAGAATTTGCAATTTAAAATAAAAATTCATTAAAGCTATAAAGATTCTACATACTCAAATCTTTCATTTTATGAATTTTGTGAATTGTTTAATTTCGAATCTTGTTTGTGAAGCAGGTTTAGTATTAAACTTACTCTCTCTCTCTCTCAGAATAAACATCTGGTATGCAATTATGCCACTTAAGATTTGATGATGAGTCCCTGTGAAAAAGTTTGCTACTTTATTTTTAAGTAGTAGTAGTGATTGAATATACTTTGGGTTCTATTTTATTTTTATTATAAGATTTCGTGAAAAGCTCTAATGCATTTTCAAATATAATTTTTTAAGAAATATCATTCGTTTTAAGTTTGTTCTTCGAATTTAATTTTACTTTGAATTTATTTAATTTTTTTTTATCATATCATCAAGAACAATACAAATATCACGAAGTACTCTGACAAATATAATAAACAATATCAATTAACAGCAATATATCGAATCTAGTTATTTGATAACCAGAAAATAAGTTGCAATAAAGAAAATCTTTTAGCTCACGTAGTGTCGTTTTTAATCATTGATGTTTAAATCTATTCTAAAATCCAGTTTACATATATACTTCTTAACAAATTAATGTGGGAGAATTTAAAATTTCAATATTTTATTTCATACAAAAATTAAAATATCCTAATATAATTTTTATTTTTTACATACATATAAAATACAGTATTCAATTTAATAGAAGCTACAATACTGATTTTACAAATATACCAGTACAACAATATTGATCAACATTTTTTAATACCATTTATAAAAATTATTTATTCATTACAATTAATATAATTACTTTTTATAAAATATTTATTGCACAACAGCATTATTATCTTATTACTTACAAAAAACTTCACATTCATATCTTTTATTTTGTGGTAATTGTAATGATGATGCTTTATTCTCTGCAAGAATATGGAAATTACTCGTAACGGCTGAGAAAGTAAACCTAAAAATGGTGCTGCTGTTGCATAACTAATTTCTGTCTGGTTCTGCAATGTTTTGAATGATGCAAATTCGGACATTGTACGAAACACTGCCCCAAAATAAGAGAAAATGCAGAAGCAGCCAGTGTGCAGGGAATCATATGTATAAAGGGTGCCCAAACTATGACAAACAGCTGACCTGTTACAACTATCGGCACGAGATGACGACTGATATAAATCACAATGCTCGCAGTAGTTCCTACAAAGTAAAATGAAACTTCATTACTTGCACTGATTATGGAACCAATTGATAGTAATATGATTCGTTTTTTTCAAATTAATCTGAGAAGAAGAATTGCTGACACTTCTCTTTTTAACACCAACCTTTAAAATTATGATATTCCACTTATCTAGGAATCTTACAACCTTAGATAGAGGCATGCCTGTCTTCCCAAGTACTGCATATCCATCTGAGGAACAACTATCCCTGGGTAGTTACTGTTCTCACTCGCAGAAACATTGCCACACTGCACCACAGACAACTCAACAATGAGTATGTGGTTTGTATTGAGGTTAATATAGCTCAGATGTATTTTGGTATTTCAGTTTGATGTTCCTATTTTTCTGTCTCAGGTATTAGCAGTCCGTAAATTCTGACATTTTTTTTTACAATGTGTTCACTTACAAATACAATTGGGGTGGTAATGAGTGCTTGTAGGAACTGAAGTAAAGTAAAGCCTTAGGGTAATAAAACATCTTGAGTATATATAGTCTACTCTGTTTCGTTTTATGGATCGTTTCGTACATTCTTCCATTCGTTTCTCATCCTTTATTCATTTCATTTTTTTATTTCCTTAATGTGAAATTTTAGAAAACATGATCTGGTTGTAAATCTTGTTTTACAACCTGATCATGTTAATTAATGACAATATGTTAGTTATGAGAATCGTCAATATTTTATTGTTAAATGGTAGGCCTAATGGTTCAGTCACAATATATTATATAATATTGAAATGTCCTTATTTATCAATGTGTAATAAATTTACACGTGAATTTGATTTAAGAACAACCTTCATTATTGGGGCTTTAGAGCAGAGCGAATAATTGTTATTAACGAGAGAGAAAAAAGAATTGCTTTACTGTCTTATGTGAAATAAATGAAGCAAGAGTATTTTTTTTTTATCATCATAAACAATGTATTTTGTATTTTAAGTTTTTTAAATTGATATATTGTTATATTCATCATAAAGTTTTATACATTATTTAAATTGTTAATTATTTTTTGAGATTTTTTGATAATACGAAATTTTGTGGTATCAATTTATAAGATTTGTATCTCTGAATATTGTAAAAATTTAAAGTTGAGATAACTGTTTTTAAATTAAGTTTATTATAATTGCACAGAATACATTTTTTCACAAAATAAAAAGTACGACCTATTTTTCCTACTTATAAATATTAACCTAACGTCGTTTTTAGGTTTCGATTTAAGCTTCAAATGGATTTTGTTTCGTTGTTTTCTTTTCATATTATAAAATTTTTTTTTTTCGAGAAACAAAAGAAACATATTCTTATATGTTTAACTAAACATAAAAATAATTTGTCTCAATTTAGATGAAAAACGATTTATATAGTTTAAAAGCGATTATAAATAAAAATAAAGTATTACGTATGTCGCTAAACGGTGACTCGAAACTCAGCAAACACTAAAAAATTTACTCAAGATTTTAACATCAAATTGATTAGTCGTATTAAGCTGTATATATTTGTTGTTATAATTAAAGTTGTATTATTTAAAAAAAGGAAAATAAGATCGCTGATAATATTCTGAAGTGTTTGCTGTATATTCATGTTGTACAAGAGAACTGCAATTCATTTCATAATTGAAGATATCACTAATCATATATAGTATTTAAACTCAGACACAACGACTGAAAAGTGAATGGCTTACAGGAATTTTAACGTTACTTTTAAAATTTAAATAATATATCAAAAGTAATAAAATGTTTGTTAGTGATGAAATGTCAGAAGATTAAATATGAAAATAACTTTGTGCATTCGTTAATAATAATTTGAAAATGTAAATAATGTGTAGTATTGTATATCTATTTATAGCATATTCTCAAAGTACAAAATGAATTAATATGTGCTATGTAATAAAAAATATTCACAAACCATGTGTAGAGAAACAATAATTAATAGCTTTCACTTTCAAACTATATAAAAACGAGTTATTAATACGTTCGAACTAGGTTAAAATATAACTTTTCAAATACAAAATCTAAATTTTAGTCAATCATTTAATTTAATTTATTCGAATAATGTTCTATTTTCTTTTTTTTATAGACAAAATAATATCTTCTTGCTATTAATAAAAATAAAAACATGAAAATTGACTGTGTAAGGAAACGATTCTCGCTCCTTTTTCAAAAATTAGGAAGATTAATTGGACTTCATCCGTACTGCTTTATTTTTATTCCTATTTTAATAACAGCGACATTCTCAGCATTCGTCTTCAATATAAATACAATCTCAAGCACAATCGAACTGACATTCGCAGATTCAGAAAAAGTCTATAATACAAAGAAGTTCGTTGAAGAAACGTTTCCTTTTAACACATCGAAATTCTTTGATCCGACAAGATATACAAACATACCAAAATGTGTGTTTGTAATGTTTACAAAGAAAGGTGGTGGTGACATGCTCGAAAAAAATGTGCTACTAGAAATAAGTTTGGCGGATCAACTAATTAAAAATATAACAATTAATGATGAAGGTGTAGACATTGGATATTCAGATATTTGTGGACGTGTAGGTGAAAAGTGTTTTGAAAATCCGATTATCGAAATATTGCCCGATATTGACAATATAGTGCAGAGAAAAAAGAAATTAAAGTATCCGATCGACATAGATCCGCTGACATACTCTTATCAAATGAATTCCCTCAACTTTGGGGGTGTAATCGAAGATGAGAACGATGTCATTCAAACAGCAAATGCTATGAGATTAACGTATTTCACAGACGAGAGCGACCTGAAAAAACAAAATGTCATAGAATGATGGCGAACAGAAGTTTATAATCGAATAAGAATTTATCAATTTAAACATGTTCTGTGTTTTATTGATTACGCCTGGTCAATAGAAGAGCGAAATGCGCAATTAAAGAATAATATAAAACCGATGATAGGGGCACTGGTTGCATTTATTTCTGTTTTTACTGCTGTTACATGTATGAGCAACAATTGGGCAAGAAGCAAGCCTCTTCTGGGTGTTGCAAGTGTCGTATCGGCTGGTCTGGCTGTGGTTACCTCTTTCGGATTCATGTCAATTGTCGGTGTACCAAATAGTATTTGGAACATCACCATTCCATTTTTAGTACTCGGTAAGTAATTACTCCCGCTTTTATATTTGTTTTTTTTTTTCGATTGTGATTTCTTCAATTAATAATGATTTTCTGATGTAGTGACAGAGATCGATGATGCCTTCGTATTGTTGGCGTGTTGGAGAATATCAAACCCCAAGCATAAAGTACACAAACGCATGGAAGAAACATTCGGTGAAGCAGGAATTTCTATAACGTTAACATCGTTGACGAACATATTTTCCTATTGCATTGGAATGATGTCATCTTTTCCTCTTATAAGAATGTTTTGTTATTATTCCGCAACCAGCATAGTGTTTACGTTTTTGTATCAGATAACGTTTTTTGCAGGGTGCATGGCATTATCAGGATACAAAGAAGAGAAACAACAACAACAAGCACTTCGTGTTAATTTCGGTAAGCTCATTAAACTTTTTAAATTGTATATATAGGGAATATGGAATTTTTCATAATTTGTATGCCATACGAGACTGTAGAGAGTGATTATTGGCAAAGTATGAGGAGTGAGTGTATTGTGTATATGATGCATTATTTCGTTTAAGTGTTCTGTTAATTAATGGGAAATGATTTGCGGAAACTTAATTTGTGTGGGAATTTAATATATAAAACATTATCAGTATGTATAATTGTTTAATATTCTGAAAATATTTAGAGTTTATATAGGCGTATTATTAAGCATTATGGTTGAAATGAAATCTGAATTTTATTTTACTCTACCAAGTAATTCAAGTTTGAATGTATTTTCATCTAATACTTGATCAGATCGCATTCCAAAACTGTTATAACCTATAATTGGAAAATGGGAAGTTTCTATAGTAGAATGTATTATTCCAAATCTTGGTTTAATATAACTAATTAAATATTTATAAAATTTAATAACTAAAATAATTCAGATCTTGACTTATTGAAAAATGATAATTATGAAATTTATTTAATAAAAGATTACAAAATACTATATATTTTAAATACCCCCCATAACGCGTAGATACGTTCTACTTTATAAGTATTTCAGATTGTAGGAATCCTTAAATACATGAGCCAATCACAGCCCGACACGTGTGAAGTTTACGGACTACGGCTGTTTGAAAGGTTTTCTTCCATAAAATTAATCGATTCCTAGACTAATTCGACTCAACATTTCCAAAACACATATAATTTTTTGGGAATAATTCGTATAAACTATGCTATAAACAAAAAATTGTAGAATTACTTACCGAGTGTGCACCGTTCGACGTCGCCATTGCTTAAGCTTGTTTTCGTCGCGGAGCAGCGCACCAAACGGCGGCCGCGATTTCTGATAAGTTATTTTTCTGCGAAAACTTCGTTGAACTTTGGAGACATCATTAATATAAATAATTTTAATGGCCGTTGAATAAGAAATGTTTCTTTCACAAGAAATGTATAAAATTAGAGTACTGTATTAGACTTACGGTACCTAATTTACATACTGTACAGACGATAGTAAACTCAACTTACTCGCCTAAACTCTCCGTAGCGTGGCGCTGGACGGCGGAAAGTATATATATAATTATAATAAAGTTACAATAAATTAATTTAATATATAATTATATATATAGTACCTAATTTATATATAATACTGTACACACGATAGTAAACTCAACTTACTTGCCTAAACTCTCTGTAGCGTGTAAGTAGTTCGAATAATGTTCGAATTTAATTCGAACATTATTGGAACTACTTACACGCTACAGTGTTTACACGCACAGTAGTAATGTTCGAATTTAATTCGAACAATATTCCAATTAAATTCGAACATGAAATTCGAATATTGGTTCGATTATAGAACGATCGTAAACGTTCCAGAAACGTTGAAAATAGTTTGTTTGACTTGACGTGAACAGGAGACGTTCAGAAATAGAATCGGGATTAGATCTCTAATCAAATACGGGGGACCTAATTCTTGCATTCTGTGAAAACGAGTAAGATTGCCGATAATGTAATTATGTTAATCTTCACCATCGTTACTTTTTGCCCAGCGAAGCGGGTTCTTGCAGCTAGTATTGCTATAAAAAACAGCTGAAAACAATACCTATAGGATTGTATCATACACAAAAAAAATCGTTGAAAGAAGTATTGGATATTAATTAAATATATATTTTTATTTAAAAGAAAGTTAAATTAACTTTAGCTAAAAATATAAAAATAAAAATTTAAAAATGTATTAAGAGCTATATTAGGTTTTACTAATAAAAAATTTATTGAAACAGAATATATTAGTTAATATTCTATAGATTTATCTGCTTGAAATATAGTAGAGCGTCGTTTATCCGAATCAATTGGGGACTGGGGTTGTTTGGATAACTTATTTTTCGGATAACCGATTACACACGAAAAAATATATTAACCAATACCATGTTGAAATTTTTTTCCGTTGCGTGTCGCGTTGCGTTGAATTTTTGTCGATACTAAGCCTAACGTAAATTTTTTAAAATAATAATCGTGGCTATTGTGTCGTTAAAAATTATTTCTTTATTTTGTACAAACAGCATAAATATATTGAAAAATATAAAAACAAAAAAATTTTTACTTTAGAAGTTAATATGGTATCAAAAACGTTCGATTCAGCATGACACACAGTCCTCAAAAAAACTCCACACAAAAGTGCCAGTGCTGCCAGCTAAAACACACACATCAACTAAAATAATATTGGAGTAGCCCAAGATATAGCCAAAGATTATAGCGCTACGGCACTAGCGAAAATTGAAATTTGCCGACTGGAATTATTTCGGATAACCGACGTTACGGATAACCGACTTTCGGATAAACGACGTTTTACTATATTGAAATATATATACTTTGTGATATTATTTCAGCATATCATGTAAATGATATACATTTGTCATTGTTAAAAATTATTTCAGAAAGTTTAGTATAAGTAACAGTATAACAAACAGTATAAGAAACAAATTGATCGTATTTTTCCGACGTTTCTATTTTCTAGTATAAAAAAATTCAAAAAGGTTTATTACTTTCTAGAAAAAGTGATGTTTTTCCAATATTATAATTGGTCTTGAAGAAGCTTTGAATAAAATAGTAATTAAAATGCCAATTTTAAAGTTAAATTATTTACTTTACCACAGTCGACAAATAAAAGCATTTGGTATAATTCATCAGTTACCATTAAGAGAAATTATTGGATTAGTATCTAACACGGCTTTTAGTAGGAGTATATTTTCAAATCCCTTCCTTTTTCATCATTAGAATCTAAATTCCAATTGTCTTTGAATATTCATGATTGATGATAGTTTTATTCAATACGGTAATTTAACTGTCTTCAATTGTACATACAGTAAATATTGCAATTATTGTCTGTATCTGATGGCTAGGAGCCATATCTGTATGTTTCATTTGATTCTTAATAAAACAGGCTGGGCGCCCATGAAACTTTCCTTTTTCATTTCCTTTCTTATCTCGGTTTATTTTTTCTCCTTTGCCTCTTCCCTTAACTACCTTTCCTCTACTCTTCTTCACACTCGGGCAATACCAATGAGTAGTCCCGAGTCTTCATCCCCTTTATGAAAATGAAAATGAAAATACAGTAATACCCCGAACTTACGCGATAGGTTGGACCAAGCGATAACCGCGTAAGTCAAATTCGCGTAAGTCGGTGTATAATTTCGCATATAAATACATACAAATAATTTTTAATTGGGACCGGAGACTAAAAAAAGCAATATTTTAGAAAAAAAATGTTTAATAAAATCTTAGATAATACATATGTATAACATATTATATTATTATACAATTTTTCACAATTACTTGATTATCACACCATAATTTTAACATTGTTTCCATCTCAGGGATAATACCGTGACGTTTACGAATGATGCTTGAATTTAAAGATTAAGCATTTTTCGCAGCTTCGAGAATTTTTTCTTTACCTTTTATAGTTGTTCTGACCATCGATTCCGGTAGATTAAACTTCTTTGCCGACTCACAAATTTTCATTTTTGTTTCATAATGTTAACTTTACATTCCAAAGATAAAGTTTTTCTTTTCTTGTTTGATGCAGAAGAATCAGTTCTACTTCATTTGGATGACATAGTAGAGTCTCTCGAGTCTCCGTAGATAAAACAAACACAAAAATAAATAACACAAAATAAATTGTAGCTATGCGTCGATCCGCGCGACATTTCCGAACATGTAAGCTGACCAATATTGTGGGGGGCGTGAGTAATCAAGAGTTGCGTGGAGCTCAGAAAAAAGACGAATCTACGAGATTTGAAAATCGCGTAACTCCGGGTTCGCGTAAGTCGGGGTAACGTAAGTCGAGGTATTACTGTACGGTAATTTACCAATAAAAATAAAATTTTGTAAAGCTTTAAATCAGGGGTGTCCAACTTTTTTGTTTTTCTGGGCCGCATTGGAAGAAGTCAAGGAGTTTTGGGCCACAAGTATATAATATATACTTGTGGCCCAATATACAAGTATATTTAAGGATTAACATGTCCAGATTATAATAATAAGTATTAAATCTTTATCACGAAAAAGGATATTTTAAAAAATTACTTCTACACTTTCTATTTTTACTTAGAAATAGATAAATTCATTTACTATAAAAATGACAAAAGAAAATTTATTTGAAAACACAAATATTTGTTTTATTTGGGTCTCTAATTAATAAAAAGCGACGAAACACCATTTTAAAGTGCATTTTTTCAACTAATATATAAATAATATGCAGCCCAAGAAATAGCCAAAACGCTAAGTGATATTTTTTATGTCAAACCATAAAAGTAGCCACATTTGGCGCAAATGTAGCCAAATCTTGCAACGTTGGAAGAAATATAAAATAAAGCTGAAGTTGTGACTCAAAGGATTAAAGACATAAATGCGAGAAAAAAAGAGAAAGGACGAAAGATAAAGAAGTGAGAAAGGTTGGTAAATTAAGGGTCAATATTCGCATAACAGAAGCTTTATTTAACCTTTCTCACTACTTTTTATCTTTTGTCCTTTTTTACCTTTCCTCCTTTTCCCAAATTTGGATCTATAATCCTTTGAGTCACAGCTCCAGCTTTATTTAGTAATCATTCCTCATTCACACATCTCCAAGTATTTAAAAATATTTCCTTTCCACTCAGAAATAAAATATGAATGAAGGTTTACGGCTTTGTGAAACTTCTTTCTTGAGTTTATACCGTTGAAATAAATATATAATAAAAAAAATTAAAACATTTGCCGGTTTTGTTTACACGTTTATTGGGCCGCATTGGAACTTGCCTTAAGCCGCATGCGGCCCGCGGTCCGCGGTTTGGACACCCCTGCTTTAACTTTTTGGAGCTTAATTAACGTACAGTGAATATATTTGCATAGGATTTGGTGGTGTATACGCATCGAACCAATTACTAAAACATTATAAGAAAAAACAGGCAAAATTTTGTTCATCTATTATAACAGATAATAAACCTGTAAGTCATTGGATTGCGGATCACATTATTAATAGAAAATGCTATTACTTTCACAATTATGGATTACCAATATGAAGAAAATTTATTAAACAAAATTCTACATCACGTGAAAGTAATTCAGAGACAAATCAAGATTCGGAGATTTAGTCCAAAATTACGCATGTATATACACCTCTCGAGTTTATTTACATTTAAATAATATTAAAAATAACATCAACACACTGGTAACTTGCCGTGTTCTTGCATACGTAATATTAGAAGAAATTCAGTACTCACAACATATCTTGTTCTGAGTTACACATTTTATAATTGACATGACAATAGAAGTATTTTATATAATCAATTTTCTGTTAACATTATTGCAGACTTAAAATGTTTTGTTATATAACTAGTATACACAGAGTTGTCTTTGATGAGTCGTCTAAACTCATGTGACACTTTAATGCGAAATTTTTTGTAATAAGGGATTAACCTTTACAACTTTATTTTTTGGCTTGTTAATTGAATTCCAAGTTTTATATACCTTTAAAATTACATTTATTGGTATCATATAGTTTGAGTATTTATTTAATCGTCGAGCATTAAATTTTGCTCTTTCTAAATTATTTGTGGCTGCACTACATTTTAATGTATGTTACAAATCAGGCTTTTTTAACACAAGTCTTTGTAGCCGAAAACTTCCACGTGAACATTAACACAAAGGGAGTATTAACCTTACGTAAGCCACTGAGAAGAATGCATCCTTTCTAACTGCTGATTTTCCTTCTCCCTTCCTCTCTTGCCTCTTTCGTTAGCGGCTGTTTTCTGTTTTAATTTAAGAAAAAAAACAATCTTTCGTTAACATAAAAATCAAGGCGAAAACTATAGTACAAAAATGTAATTGTTTTGTATTCTTTTACGTGATTTAATGAAATGACTGGACAGTTTCCATTTCTGTGTTTTGCTGATATCTTTTATTTATTAACTAGCTGCAAGATCCCGCTTCGCTGGGTTTTTATTTGTATGTAATAGTATAGTTATATATATAAATATATATATATATAAAAAAATGTGTGTTTGCATCACTATATCCTATTATTGCCTATCATCATAAAATGATTTCCATGCTATTGAGAAAGAATCTGCATCTCTATGATTAATACACCTTGCTTTTTACTTGTGCTTTATATATATCTAGCTTTTCAAGATCCCTGATTGTATGTTTGTTAATTGTAGGCCTAATGATGAAGCCTGGTCCCATAAAACATTAACATCATGTTGGTTGGCAAATGATGCTAGAATCATACTGTCTAGGTTCTTGTTAACTGAGTACTTGTGTTCTTTGATCCTATATGACCCTATGCTCTAAGGATTGCAAAGTAGCTCCCACATAAACTATATCAGAATCAAACTGGTGGTCTTTTATTGGTATGGAGTAAATGCCCATCAAAGAGTTTTGATTTNATTCGAACAAATTCGAAAAAATCGAACAAAACATTCGAAATAGAATACCACTTTTAACCGCTTTCAGCCTTATATCTCCCGCACCCTTATAGCTATCGAGACGCAACCACCCCTATCCACGAATGGAGACTTGGGGCTACCACCACATACAAACACCATTCACGTGCGATGTGTAGTTTTGGCGAAAAAGTGAGATATAGGGACATACATGTTTATATATATATATATAGATATAGATATAGATTATTTTGCAACTAATTATTGTTATAAAAATTATTTAAAAACTAACTAAACATGATTCTGAAATTTGTTTTTTAGTAAGAAGTTGTATATATATTCTAAATGGTTAAGTCTTATTTTCAGAAGCTATTGAACATTCTTCTACAGAAGATGAAGTGTCTATTGATGAGCCAACAATGGTATGCTTTAGGGACAAGTTGGGAAAAATTTTATCTATGAAGGTAATGAAGATAACAGTTATCATCGTTTACTTTCTAAATTTATCATTTGGAATATGGGGAGCCTTAACTATAAAACACGGTGTAGACTTTACTAAGTTATATCCACAAGAATCAATAATAACACAGGGTATTAGAATACATTATAACAGTTTCGGCCGTTATACGTTTCCTTATCAAATAATCATTAACAGCACACTTGATTATTCAGATTTAAATGTACAGAAATTAGTGGATGAACTACTCAAGAAATTCGAAAGTCTTCCATACTTTGCAGATTCCCGATTAACAGTATCTTGGTTAAAATATTACAAAGAATTCCAAAATCACCCGCTAGCAAAATATTCATTACGAGGATATAACATGTCGGTTAAACAAGATTTCTTGGATGGACTTTGCAATGTTTTCCTGAAATTTAAATCAGCGGAACAATTCTCCAACGATATCACATTTAATTCTGATGTATCCGATATTTTAACTAGCAGATTTCACATCTTTGTAAATTATACGTTAAGTCAAGCAGCTGAAATGGAAGTGTTAAAAACTCTGTGGAAAATTGCTGACGAAATTGATTTTCCTGTTCTTGTTTATGCAGCAGTCGCACCTCTGTACGAACAAGGAATTATAATTGGACGTACAATTACCGATTTATTTTGGATCACTTCACTTTTGGTTATGATTCTTTTCGTAGTTATCATACCAAACATTGTCGTTGCTGTTCTCGTTGCAATATCGGTAACATCTACCATTTTAGAAACTTTAGGATACATGTCTCTGTGGGGTATAAACATGGACATTTTATCTATGATGAGTCTGATATTATGTGTCGGATTCTGCGTAAATTACCCGGCTCACATATCTTACGCCTATATTTGTTCGTTGTATCAAAACCCCAATGAAAAAATGAAAGACAGTCTGTATCGTATCGGCTATCCAATATGTCAAGGATCTCTGTCAACCATTTTAGGAATTTTATTTGTATACAGAGATATGTACGCTTTTATTATATTTGTGAAAATTGTATTTCTTATCGCATTGGAAACTGCATTTCATGCATTGATATTCATTCCTGTGGTTCTTTCTTTGATTTTCTCAATCTTTCCTAAAGCTAATAACATAATATAAGATCAGCAGTTAAGAGAAATGTCACCAAAGAATTTACTATTGTAATTATAAAATATAACTTACAGTTTTAAAACTTTGAGACATTATTTTCCAGTTAATCTCAATCGTACAAGAAAATTTAATTTAATAATTGTATGAATAGTTACTTCTCGAGATCCGACACAATGTAGTATGTTATTTTTCAAGTATTTTACATCGAGAATTTTTAAAATTTTTATGTTATTTGACGTCAGTATTTAGGAGTAAAATGTTAGTAATATTTCATTTTACTATAATCTTGTTATAATAAATTATATATGCATTAGAAATGTATATTTAAATAATATAACGGATTTTCATTCAAAATTTTAGAAACTTTAGGATTTTTAAAATTTTTATCGGATAAGAATTCAGTAGAGTTATATTTTGTGTTTACCTAATGTATTAAAACGATTTTTACGTTAAGAAATTGATAGTAGTTTAGTAACATTTGAAATTTACGTTATACAGTAGAACCTCGAAAACTCGGCTCTCGATAACCCGGCACTCCGGATAACTCGGCCACACCCTGGCAGGGCAAAAAAATCCTTAGTTAATTAATTTATATTATAGACAGCTTTATAAAAGTATAAAAGCTCTCATAAAGTATTTTTCTGAGGTCTGTCTTATCAGATAAATTACTGTACACAGTGTATTCATTAATTTTCATTTTCATGTAGTAAAGGATCTATGCCTTCATAAAGTACGTACTTTCCCTTTGTTTAAGGGTATTTGGGCAGTTTATTCTCTGTTATATACTCAAGTAAACAATACATACAAGTACAGTACAGTATTTTCTGAGGAAACACTCGTACTTATATTTTTTAACCCCATTCCCGATAACCCGGCATTTTCACAAACTCGGCCACCCTTCGGTCCACATTAGGCCGAGTTTTCGAGGTTCTACTGTATTAATATAATTGCAGTTGAGACGGTTTGCTTTGATAGAATCATTTTCCAGCAAAGGCAATCTTCAACTTGTATTTCTTCTGTTTCACTAACACTGTAATTCAGGGCCGTGCCGTGCTATGATGCAGAGATGCAGCCGCATCAGGCGACACCGTGAGGGGGCGGCATAAAAAACATTTAAGGGGCAGAATTTCAAAGACTTGCGTCATACTTAGGAAATCTACTGCACGGCCATGGTAAGATACACCAAATAATAAGAATTATAACCTATATAAGACTAATAATTTATATAAGGGGCGGCAAAAAACATATAAGGCATTTCAAAGACTTGCATCATACTTAGAAAATCTACCGAACGGTCCTGCTGTAATTGTTATTTACGTTAAAAGCAGTTTTGCTTTTTATATTCGTAATATATTTATTTCAGACTTTGTTTTATATAAGAATGAGAAAGGGTGTCAGGCGAGCAGAAAATGATGACTGAAGATTTTTACCTTTATTTACTTTTCTGAATTTTCTAATGGTAGCTGTTTATATATTTATTAAGTAACGTCTCTTCAATCCGAAAAAAAACTTTCGGTAGACTACCTCACAGCCAATTCAGGTTATAAAACTCGTTTTATTGCTTTTTTACATATGCATTTCGAGCCAGGTTAATTTTCTAGCTCTTCTTCAGTGCTACAAAATAAATTTTTAAATTATAAAATTGATAAAAAGCAGCGCGAGTAGAAAATGTATATAAAACAATCAAAACATCCTTCATAATACCTTAAGAGTCTCCATAGGTTACAATGGCTTAATTTCACACTTATACGGTACTTTTAGTCTCATTTACAATATTTTTACAAACTTAAACGATGGCATTAAGGGCGTTTATCGCGTTATATCGATAGATGTACAGCTTGGTATACTAGTAATTATAAATTATGTTATTAAGTAACATTTTACAATAATATTTAAAACATCTTAAGAAACAAAAATATACATACAGGTTTCTTACTAATTAAAAGCTAATTATTTTCAAAATTTAACGGTATATGTTGTATATCCTTTCAAGACCATTAAAATACAAAAAGGTTTTTCGCGACAATATATAATTTTTATGATATAATTAACTGATGTTTTCTTTTACCCTCTATTATGTTGTACTATTGTTGGTCGATTTGCATACCATTTGACACGTTTATTAAATTATCATTATTGTATTTTATTATCTCTATGTGTTCATTGAATTTACATTTATAAATGTGTTTTTCATAGTGTAGGATCAGAGCCGGCCCTACCATAGGGCGAACAGAGCAGCCGCTCCAGGCGCTAAGCCTTAGGGGGCGCCTCAGTGGTAAAGAAAATTAAAGAGTATAAATTAGGGGCAACCAAGGGGGGGCGCAGTAATAGGATCTCGCTCCATCCTAAAACTTGCCTCGGGCTGGCATTGTGTAGGATTATTTCTATCTATTTGGCAGTTGCTATTTTTGATGTGGATAAACCAAGGGGAGTTATTATGTTTTAGTCTTATGGCAACTTCATATTTTTTAATACGTAATTCTAAAGTTTTTCCTGTTTCTCCTATGTATTTTTTCGGATTTTGACAGTTACAATTAATTTTATAAACAATTCTAGTTTTTCTTTCAATTTATCAACATTGGTTTTGTGTTTTTCTAGTTTATGAATTTCATGTGAGATTTTATTGGTCAAAGATGGGGCCAAAACTACATTAACCTTGTTTAAAAGTTTGAAACAGTTATCGATAATATTAGTTATATAAGGAAAGGCTTTGTAATCTTTCTCTCTCTTATTTTTTATATTAAATCTATTTTTGTAATATTGTGTGTACCAAATTTTTAACGTTCTTTTTGGGTAATTATTGAGGATTAATTTATAATCTAATTCGTTTAATTCCATTATGCATTCATTTTTGTTGGTTGTTCTTGTGTAAAATTTTTTAAATTCTATTATATATGTATACTTTTTAATAGCTATTGGGGTATGTGAGTAATAACTGATTGTTTTATTTATATTAGATGGTTTTTTATACATGTTAAATGAGAATTTCTCTTTTTCTTTTGTTATAGTTATATCCAAAAAATTAATTTTATTATATATATTTTTTAATTTTATATCAAATTCTATATTTTGTTCTGTATTATTTATCGTATTTAAAATCATCCTCTCATTTGTTATCTAATTATTTAAAATCAATAAGTAATCATCTACATATCTCATTACAGTTTTAATACCAAGAATGTTTTGTATTTTGTTTTATTTATATCTTTCATTACTAATTCAGCCAATTTTGGCCCCATCTTTGACTCTGTGCTAACGTCATCAGTTTGTCTATAAAAATTATTACAAAACTTCAAAATAATTTTTTTTATATGCCAATTTTACAAGATATATTAATGTTTGGTCAGGATTGTATCAGGTTGTTTTTTATTAATTTCCATTTTATGTTTGGGTACATATTTTTTACATCTAAACTTATTAATGTGTCTGTTTTGTCTTTTTTTATGTTTTGAATTATATTAGTAACTTCATCAGCATTTTTTATACTATTTGTGGAATCTTCAGTATTTTAAAATTGTTTTTAATATAATTTTCTAAATTGTACAGTATTGAATATCTAAAATCTATGAGTCTGTGTCTTTTTTTCTTTTTTATGTGTTTTTAATCGTATATTTAATGTTGGGATTCTATTATTTCTGAAACTAAGTATGTTATTTTTATCTACTTCATTAATTTTGTTATTCGAATACAGTAGAGCGTCGATTATCCGAAACGTCAATAATCCGAAAGAATTCCAGACAGCAAATTTAAATTTTCGCCAGCGCTGTGGCGCTGCAATCTTTGGCCATGCCTTGGGTTACTCAAATATTTTACGTTTTTGATACTAGATTAACTTCTGAAGTATAATTTTTTTATTGCTTTTATATTTTTCAATATATTTATTTTATTTGTATAAAATAAAAATATTTTTAACGATACAATAGTCTTCATTAGGCTTAACATCGACGAAAATTCAACGCAAAGCGACACGCAACGGAGAAAAAATTCAACATGGAATAGGTTAATATATTTTTTCGTACACAATCGGTTATCCGAAACATCGATATTTTTCCCGAACAACCCGTCTCCAATTGATTCGGATAATCGATGCTCTACTGTACATATTTTTCATTATTGTCGTTAAATCTTTTTTTATTTTTCATATGGGTTATTATCTAATTTGATATATTGTTCGTCGTTAATTTGTTCTTTTGTTTTGTTTTCCAAATCACTATTACTTATTATTATGAGTTGTTTCGTTTTATCAGCTTTGATAATAGATAAATTATTAGTTTTTTAAAATTTATAGTCTTATTTAAATTTGTTTTATATTTATTTATTTTAAACTTATTTTTTGGGAGTATATGCTTCATGTCATTAATGACAGAACCAATTAAATTAGTTTTTTTCCTTTTTTATTGGTAAATCTTTTATATTTTTGCCTATATTTGCTATTAAATCTATAGTTATCTTATCTATAGGTATATTATAATCTATACCTAAAGCTAGGAAATTCTTTATACATTTAGGGATTTGTATATCAGTTTTGTTGATGATTAGATTATCTACCCATATATTCTTTTTCTTAGGGATTGGGTACTTTAATAGATTATGTAATTTTGTATCTTTTTTGTATTTATATTTATTAGCAATTCCTTTGTACGAATTTTCTTTATAATTATATGGGTGTAATACTTTCCTTAAATGATACTTTAAATTATTCCATTTTAAAATTTTGCTCCTAATTGCAGCTTTTATTATTTTTTTTCAATTTTTCAAATGATATGTTTTGGTATTATATTTTTTATTGTTCTTTTTAATTTTAGGGAATTTGGAGTATGTTCTCTTAATAAAAAGCATCTGAAATAGTTTATATCGTGTTCCAACATTTCTACCTTCTTTTCGAAATGCATATGTAAAAAAGCAATAAAAGGAATTTTATAACTTGAATTGGCTGTGAGGTAGTCTACCAATGGCGTGCCGTCTTTACAAGCGGTGGATGCGCCGCTTCCCTTGTATTTTCTAAAAAA